AGGCGGGTTCAAAATGTATCTGATGATACGTTGCTTATAGTAGGACGAGAAATAAGCAGACTCTGAAATTACAGATTGAATCTACGGACTTTCAAGGATCACTTAGAACTTCCAAAGTTTACATTAAATATATTGTGCTTTATTGAAACTTTTGCAGTAAACATAATTTTGGTTGTAAATATGTAATATTTATGAGGATAGTACACGGATATCTTGAGATGTTTATAAATTGTACACTGTTTATTTTACTTGTGACGTGAACTTGTTAGTTATTAATCTATCTATCTATCTATCTATCTATCTATCTATCTATCTATCTATATATATATATATATATATATATATATATATATATAATATGCCATATATATTTACGTTTTTTATGTGTGTGTAACAATTGAGCGGCAATGCGCAAAATAACGATGGCCCACCCGATACCGTTCAAACTTGGTCCCGTTGACGCGTACTGATGTCGCTATCGAAGAGGCTTTGTATCTATAATACGCCACATATATCTTCTAGAATGCTTTGTTCATTCTTAGAAATTCATTTTAAACTTTAAATATTATAATTAGAAAAAAAGAGTGGGGAAACAAAAATATAATTTTAAAATAAGTATCTGATGATAAGTTGCTCTTAGTAAGACGAGAAATAAGCAGACTCTGAAATTACAGATTGAATCTACAGACAAGGATTACTTAGACCTTCCAAAGTTTGCACAAAAATCACTGTAGTTTGAAAACTTTTGCCGTTAGCATAATTTTGGTTGTACATATGTAATATTTATGAGGATAAAATACGGACATCTTTCCTGAGGTGTTTATAACTTGTACACTGTTCAATTATTAACGTTAACAACGAACTATTTTAAATTACAAAATTGTACTTGGATTAAACGAAAATTACTTACAATATGATACATATTACTTACCATTCCTTTTTGCCATCAATTTTAACGGCACGGCTACACAAATAATAATAATAATAATAATAATAGTAGTAATAATGATGGCAATTAAGAGTTTATACAATTAAATATTTAGATAACTTTAATGCAGGTTTTATTTTTTTTTACAATATGGGGCATATCTTGTGAAATTTGATAATAGCTTGAGAAAAATAAATAAATTTTTATAAAAAAATATGTGATGATAAGTTGCTCTTAGTAGGACGAGAAATAAGCAGACTCTGAAATTGCAGATTGAATCTACGGACTTTTAAGGATTACTTAGAACTTCCAAAGTTCTAAGTAATCTTTGGAAACTTTTGCAGTTAGCATAATTTTGGTTGTACGTATGTAAACTTTATGAGAAAAAAATACGGATATCTTTCCTAAGATATTTATAAATTGTACAATGTTCAATTATTAACGTTAACAGCGAACTGTTTTAAAATACAAAATTGTACTTGGATTAAGTGAAAATTACTTATAAATTAATATATATTACTTATAATATAATATATATTACTTATAATACATTTCTTCTTGACGTCAATTTTGACGGCACAGGTACACTAGTATTGTATATTATTTCATTAAATATGTTAAATTTTATTGAAGGAGATTTTTTAAAAAGTCACTTCCGTAGCTAATTTTAAAATTAAATTAAAAGTATTTAAATTCATATTTCACTTATTAATGTTTGAGTTATTTTAAAGAAATTTTGAACTTTATCTTAAAAGAACTTTTGGGTAATTAAAACTATTTAAATTAAAGCAATATTAATTTAATTTACGTCAAAATCACGAATTTTCACTTTTCCAGTCATCAATCAACGCCATTTTCTGACACCTACCGTCAAGCGATTAGAAACTTATTTAAATTTAAATAAATAAATAATAAAAATGTCTACGTCTCTTTTAAAACTGAAACTTAATTTGATGAATTGGGAACAATATTCAACCAAAATAAGCGGACCCTGTTGGTAGAAGTGTATTTTCTCACATTAAAATAAGTTCACATCATATTCACAGATCGTTGAGGTGGAACAGGCGAATAATTGTCCAGGGCGTCGTGGGGGTTTCTCCTTTCCCCATCTCCACCTTGGCGATTAACCTCCATAATGGACTGTAGCTGTATGCCTTGGTTTCCAAGTTACTCTTCGCTACGGATATTTAATTCAGCGGCAAATATTATGATTGCAGAATAAACATTTAAAATAAAAATTTCAGGTATAGCTCAGGTGTTAAACCATGAAATTATAAAACTGAATATTTATATAAATAATCAAATTAATTATCTATTATAAAACATTTAAGACAGCTAACCTTATCTTTAAAAATAATAACACACCAACTAAGTCAAAATTACAAAGAACGATCATTATTTATGAGTTCAAATGCCCCTTAAGGAACTGTGTTCCTGATCAAAACGGACTCATAAATATTTATATCGGTTACACAACTACATGCTTATCCAGACGTCTTACGTCACACCTATCTGATCACAGCTCCATTAGAATCCATTTAAACACACACACAAATTTACCAGACTCCATTA